CTTTGTTGGGCTCCGTGGTGGATGGGGCGGTTGGGCCCGAATCTTTTATCTTTCAATTATGGCTCTCTCAAATATTCAAACTTCAACAGAACACAATTATGCCTCAAAAAAGTGAAAACAAGTGAAAATGCAATGCTATTTAATCCAAGATTCAACCTCGCTTTGTTGTAATTAACGATCCAACAGGCAAACTGAAAAAAGGTCATCATTTTTAATAAGAAAATATGTTCACGTAATAGCTAGAGTGCCCAAAACTCTAAATTACTATCGCGGATTTATCTCGGAACTGGATCTTCTCTCTGTTTCGGAGGAAGAATTCGTCGTAGAACTCTCCATTCAGATTGTCTGTGCTGCTAAGCGTATTAAGATGCGTAAAGATAGTCAGTTGATCGATACAAAACGCGTCATCCTAACCTTCAGTTCGCTTTATGTGCCCAAAAGTGTCAGAGCCGGGTATCTTCATTGCCCAGTTAAGATCGTACATCCCGAACCCCATGCTATGTTTCCAGTGCCAGCGTTTTGGCCACTGCAAAATGTCCTGTCAAGGTAAGTCTACATGTGCACGCTGTTCAGTGGAAGGCCTCGACAGTGTTAACAGTTCCGTCTTCACCTCAGAATCAAATGCTATATATTATGCGCTTTCGTTTATTTCTAAGCTACATCAAATACAGTTCATTACATATACAAACTCGCTTAGTGCTTTGAAATCCTTAGATTCGTGTTATAGTGCTCAAAATCCCATGGTTGTTGACATTTGAAGCCTAAATCTCAAAGTAAGAAGCCGTGAGTATGGCATCCTTTACTTCTGGGCTTCAGTACATGTGGGTTTAAAAAAGGGAACGAGCTAACAGTCATCGCAGTCAAATCTGCAGGATGTCCATCTATAAAATAATCTGTCAAACCGAAATAGTCAAACCAAAAATTCAATGCTGGGAGCCCACTAGGAACCGGAAGGAGGAAGTTTTTCTGACCTTTGAAGTTTTGTATTTGAGACAATTATGTGATGTGTGTGTAGTTGTTTTTTTAAGTATTTTATTATTGTTATCATTATCATTGTAGAACACCTTCATCATTGTATTTTATGCTATTCTTGTGGTTTTCATCTTGTCTGTTTATTTATACGTTTCTTTTTCTTTAAAAGGGGTCTCATACTTTGTAAATCCATCAAAAAAACGAAAAACATTTTATGACTTAATTTTATTCTGTATTGTATTCTGAACACATTAAAAAACCGCATTAAAAAATTCGCAATAGAACCAAAAATATAGCTAAAACAAGGTGACACACTTTACTGATAAGGCAATGTTTACATTGGACGGGCGCGTGGCCGATGCAACTGTTTACTACTTTCGCATCTGTTCTATTCAGCTTTATCTGTGAAAAGCGTTATCTTTGCTATGCGAAATGCTAGATAACGAGCCACACAACCATATTATTCTTTTCCCCAACTCGCTGGAAGGAAGAAAATTCCTCAACTCTGCTTTATTTTGATCGTGAAATAATTTGAATGCTAGAAACGTGCTGATATCTTTGATCAGTATATGCATGTGCTCAGCGATATATTTGATTTTTTGACTGCTTTTTTGTATTATTATCTTTAACTTTTTTAATTATTTAAATCCTTTTGAGACGGGTAAAGAGTATAATCGATCTCTCGGCTATAGAAGCAAAAAACACCGATATCATGGCCATAAGAAAAGTGATTCTGTTGTGAATGAAGGCAAGTCAGTATCCGCTAAAAAGCTGAAATTAGAGAGACTTCTAATCATGTGAATGATGCAGATAATCACAGTAATTTGCAAGGATATCGATTTATCGATGTTGGAATTTTATTTGCAGCTCTTGCAACATCATTGTGCTGCAAAATATGCCATTCAGAAGTAAGTTTTACTGAAGAATCAATTCGTGGTAGCTCATCAGTGTTTTCTGTAAACTGTTTGAAGTGCAATTCTGTGCAAAAAATAAACAGTTGCCCTATGCAAGGATATAAGAACAGTATGCCTGAAATTAACATTAGGTTAGTTTATGGTATGAGGTGTATAGGCCAAGGATTAGCCAGCTTGAAAACATTTTGTGGTGTTATGAATATTGTTACCACCAATTGCACAAAAGAGCTTCGATGTCATCACCAAAAAATAAAAAAAAAGCCACCCACACTGTTGCCATGCCGTCAATGAAAACTGCTGCTGAAGACGAAAGAGCAATTAGCGGTGCTAATGATATAAGTGTGAGTGGAGATGGTACATGGAACACTCGTGGGCGGGCATACATCTAAAATTGGAGTATGCAGTGTGATTGGTTTGGAAAGTGGGAAAGTAATTGATGTGGAAATACTCTCTTCGTTTTGCAAAGCATGTGAAAGCTCTGCAGCATCAAATCATGATTGCAAAAATAATCATGCTGGAAGTTCGAGTTCCATGGAGGTTATAGGTATGAAAAGAATTTTCTTACGTTCCGAAGAAACTAGGAATGTGCGATATGTCAAATATCTCGGTGATGGGGATACCAAAACCTTCATGGAAATAACGAAACTGTGCCCATATGGTAAAATTCCAGTGGAAAAACTTGAATGTGTAGGCTATGTGCAGAAGTGAATGGGTACACGTTTGAGAAAACTGAAACAACAGTTACGTGGCATAAAGCTGAATGATGGATAGACTCTTAGTGGAAAAGGTCGTTTGACGGATAGCATAACTAAACTTACTGTTTATTATGGGAATGCTATTAACCCAAATACCCAGTCGCTACAGAGCATGAGAGAAGCTGTATGGGCTACATATTGCCATATGTCTTCTATTGATGAAGAGCCCATGCATATGTTTTGCCCACAAGGGAAAAACTCGTGGTGCAAATATAACAAACATGTGGCCTGTTCTGATTCAAATGAAGAGAGTTTCCATCATCAACCTACTGTACCTGTAGAAGCGATGAAAAAAATTTAAACTGTGTATGCAGATTTATCTGCACCAAGTTTATTCAAACGGTGTCTCAGCGGCAAGACTCTAAATCAAAATGAGAGTTTCAACTCGATTGTTTGGACATTTTGTCCAAAAACTTCTGGTTGTGGAAAGACAGTCGCAGAAGTTGCAGTTTTTGAAGCTGTCATAGCATTTAATGATGGATATAGAGGTCGCATGGATACATTAAACGAATTGGGCATAAATCCTGCTACTCTTGCATTTACTGCTGCAAATTTAGCCGACATAGAAAGAGTTCGAACTGCTGAAATTCGCAATGATTTCCGAACATTAGAGGCTCGCAGAAAAAAACGCTTGGAACAATTTAAAAAAATGAACAATTATTATCAGTAGAAGGTGTTTACTATCAAGCTGGTGATTTTTAGTCATGTAAGTTTATTTTAATTTCTTTTTCATAATTATAACTTTAGTGTTTTGAGAAAATGCATCTTAATTTTCATGACGATCCGTAAGAGGTAAGCTGACATGGAAAGTTCAAACTGCTGAAATTCGTGCTGATTTCCAAACATTAAGGGCTTCCATGAAAAAATACTTAGAACAATTAAGAAAAATTAACAGTTATTATTAGGAGAAGGTGTTTCCTATCAATCTGGCAAATTTTAGGGATATAAGTTTATTTTGATTTTATTTTTTCCATAACTTAACTTTAAGCTGCGTTTTCTCAAAACACTAATTTTCATGACGATCCGTAAGATTAAAAAAAACTATTGCACGTATAAGCCCAATTTTTTTCCTGTGTATATATAGTTATATTATCTATAGAATGAATTAATATCATTTAGCTATTTACACATTTAGGTTATTTTTAATGAGTAAATAGCTATAAATTTATGATATTTCTCTTTTTTCTTCAAATTTGCATAATTTATAAAATATTCATGTTAAAATAATTTTTGTATTGTTAATTCATTCTATAGAATGTAGTTTTGGGATCATTTTAAAGTAAGTTGTAAGCCAATACCTATATTCTAAATTTAGTTATCTTACGGATCGTAAAGTAACATAATTTTTTTAAGTTATCTTATATTAAATATATTATATTATTTTTTGTAATTAAATGAAGGGGATTATTTTATGATTTTCTTAGAATTGAAACTTATCTTAAATGGCATTTAAATTTTTGTGTAATTTGAAAAAGTATTTAAAATTTTATGATTAGTCGAGACAGACACACTTTCAGCATGCATCACGACTCTTTAGAAGGTATGAGACCCCTTAAAAGTATTTTACATGTGTTTCGGCGCATAATAACTATTGAGGTTTTGGGCCAGGAAACCCACGACTACCGCTTATCACTACATTCTTGAGTGAATATGGTTTATCTAAGAACTTCACATGCATTGGGGCGAAAGAACCACCAGCTTCTATTATATATTATTAACTTTCGGATATAATAAGCTACTTCTTGTTTCTAATAAATGTACTTTCGTACAAACAGGGGTTCTTCAAAAATTTGATAGGAGGAACAGAATAGCAATATTATTCACTGTCACGGAAAATGCTTACTATTGTACCTGTGTTTGTAAATCGAGTAATGATGCTAAATTAATCTAAATTTAGTCTTCCTTTTGGCTTATGGATTATAATAAGGAACATTCACGTTAATCGCCATGTTTCCTTAACACTGCTTAGCATATAGGACGTTCAGATTAATATTAATACTTGAGATTTGAGCTTCGTTTACTATTTTTTACATTATTATTAAATTTTTGTATAAAACATATTGATATACAGTGTGTATTGTAAAAACATTTTATTTAGGTTTTATTTCATTTATTATCTTATATTTTTATTTGAATTGTGCGCGTTGGTGTATTTAATTTATATTAAGAATTGTGAATAATGATGAAGACATGTTTATCATTCAACAATATGGTGTTCCTACAATATGACGTTCAAATTAATATCATTACCTTAGATTCAGACTAAATTCGCTTAAGTGAAAATGTTATTATTTTACTTCTGAAGTAAGTAAACTTTTGTAAATGATTTCAACGTACAATGTGTATAAGGAACTGTTTCTTTAGATTTTCAATGCGTTTATTGACTCACTGTCATATATCCTTCCATATGGATGGTGAACGTTGAGGCATTAATTTCATTTGAGTCATAAAATGAAACCTCAATACATTATGAAATTTACTGATTTCCAGTATTATAAAAGCAAATAAATTCTTGTAACATTCAATTTTGTTTACTCGAAAATTTTGAAGTCTAAATTTACTGTTTTATCTTCCAGAGCAGTATGGCCACGTATCCCTTGTAGTAAGATAATATTCCATATCATTTGCTTTTTCCCATTCATATATGTCTCTATTGATGTAATAGCCCATTTTTAGGCATCCTTCAGCTCTACAGGAGTCACATTCCTGCATCCAGAAATCTTCAATATCTTTGCAGTGTCGTGCTTCAAATCTGCATTTTTCATCAAAGCTAGCGATGAACAACTCACAGGCCCGACGATGGCTACAAACATGTTGCGGTACAGTTAGCGTCACTGAAAAATGAAAGAAGATGTATGCAATCTTAAGTAATCAAGCTGATAAAAATAACAAAAAAAATTCACATTTAATTAAAAGGTAAAGATTAAAATAGGTTTTAGCTATTTCATGATATTCCTTTTGATTTATTTGATTTTAAAGATTTGTTACTTCACAAACACAGGTATTGTTTAGAAGCGTTAACATTAAAACTCCATGTACTGTTTAACAGAGTTAACATTTTGGACGTTTGTGTTTTTAACTAAATTTTCAGAACTCCAACTGAATTATAGCATTCAGGACTCCAACTGAATTATAGAATTTTCTCTTAATGCTTTGAAAACTAGAAAGATTTTATTTTCATTCTAGAAAGATTATTCTAGAAAGATTTTATTCTAACTTTGAAAACTAGAAAGATTTTATTTTCATTAGTTATAGTATTGGATTTACAGATGGTAAGAGGAAAGTTTTCATCTTTCATCAGTAAAGGAAATATGTTTCAAACCTTTTCAAACTTTCTTCATTTATTTCAGAATATTTAGTTTTAAATTGAAAAAGAAAGAAACTTTTTGCACCTTTTGGCAAAATATTTACAAACTTTAGACCTCTCTATTCTGACTATTATAAACTATTCTGACCTATGAATGATTTAGTTCGCGATTAGACTGTCATTTCTTTGATTAAAGTGGGTTGTACAGAGAATATTGCCTTCTAGAAAGCACATAAAACTTATAATAAACGAACAGAATTTTCAAAAGCTTTCCTTTTTACACAATCTATAATCTGGGCTTTACTAATCCTTCTCTACATCGAGTGGTACTGATGAAGAATCACAAGCTCATTAACATAGCATGATTTTATAAGTGATATAAGCGAGAACAACGCTATTGAATTTATAACTCTGGTGGAAAATTTCTTTGGGTCTCATACGACAAAATTAAAATATTTAAGGATTCAAAAGCAAAAATTCAAAGGACATTTAGGGAGAAATATTTATGTATCATCTCTTCGTAGATGATAAAGACTAAAATACATTTTTGCTTTGAACAGTGCAAAGTTATTTTGTCATTTCGTAAAATTAAAGTACGAAATAAAGTATTAAATTCGATAAGCTTACTTTAGCGTCAGACATATATGCAACTTTCCAATATCTACTCAACTTCGAAGCAAGGAGAGGATAACAACAACAACAACAATATTGGCTTACCTGCTTCGTGTAACTCAATCACATAACAGGTCCACTCCCCCTTTGGGCACCTCGTGGAGGTTCAACCTCCACTATTACGCTCCAAGGGAGCGGCGCACCACCTGGATACGACACCAGGCAGCACCGGTCGTCAAGTTGCTCCTACCAGTCGCTTGGGCGAGCCCGTCGCAGCGAGACATTGTAAGGATCCTAAGTTTTACTAACGTTTATTTTATTTTAAATCTTTACTATCACTTCTTATTTTCTACTTCCGGCCAGAATTAAAAGCTTTAACTTATTTATGCATATTTGTCTTGCGAACGCCAAGTACTTAAGTTGTGGCCTTTTGCCAAGCAAGAGAGAGGAAGGAGTTAGTCGAAGCAGGCCGCTTGCCTTAGAGTTTTACTCGGTTGCTGGTTGCCTTCCAGGCCAGAGGTTTAATCCTCTTAATAATTTTAAACGTATTGTAGTGTTAACAGTTCTCTGTACTACATACGGTTTCCTGTTAATATACGGCCAATCTTCCACGTAGGCCCTAGTTTATTATTCCAAAGTTAAGTTAGAGTTTACTTAATATTTTTATATTCTTACGTTCAGACCACAAGTGGTTGTTCTCTGTATTCCGAAGTCCGGAAATCATTGTAAAGAGTGAAAAATAAAGGGTTTCGTATACCCTTCCTGTGTATCTTGTCTACTTCCCAAATTTATTGAACATAGCTTTAGTAAGCTCCCTGTTCCGAGTCAGAACAGTTAATGTTCCCTAAGCAAGTAAGGAGGAACACAGAACCTGATAACATTACCCAGCGAACCCGGGGGAAAACCCCCGGGCTACTAATACCACGCCGCGCTAGGACGTGCCAGACTCCGAGGCCGGCCAATGAGTGACCTTTCACAGAGCCTTCAGAACCACCAATTCATAAATTTTATACCCCCGTGGCCGAGACTGCCTAGGTACAGATCCTAGCCAGTAGCTTCGCAGAGTTCTCTACGTCGAGCCCCGGGGGGAGAAGGAGAGGGTAAAATAAATAAGTTGTAAGATTCCAACCTTTATGCTGCAGCTATAAATGAAGAACCTTAAGAACTGATAAGCGAATAATCGCTTAGTTCAGTAGACAGGCAGCAGAACTCACGAAAGGTTAAATATCCTTTATTATTCAAAATAAATTTAACAGTCGACTCCTTGGAGTTACAGCAAAACCTCCACTTGGGCTTGAACTCCGGAATACTAAGAAATAAAACTTTCTAAACTTAACTAAAAAGATATAGCCGAAGCTGTCAAGATTCTACTACAGTCGATCCTTTAACGCTAACTAAACGGCGAAGCTATCAAAGGCCTAAAGTACGGCCGAGCGTAAAAAATAGTTTAGAGAGAGAGTAGCCTAAAAAGCGAACGCGCGCAGCTCAAAATCTCTGGCTCTCTAATGAAGTCAGTTAATATAACGAAGTCAGTAGACCTTCAACTTTAAATACTGGTTTTTCTGTATTTGCATTTAACTGCATTCTGAAAACACGTTCTGGCCGGACATTGTAAGCTGAAATTAAGAATAAACAGAAAAATAACTAAAACTTAACTGTTAGAAATTTAGGATAAACCTTACAAGGTAATATTTCATTTAATACCAAGCCAAATAAAGGCTGCATATTAATTTTTATGCAGCAGGCTGTATTCTATTCCCCGATATAAAAGTCTGTTAATTATTTTAGAAGATTTCATTTCCTTTCAGTTAATATAATCACAAACATTGCGTGCCATATATTGCGCTAATACACCCTATTCTACAATATGGCTACCCAATTTATTCCTGCGCATCTGAAACCTATCTTCAGAAATTATAATGTGTACAACTGAGTGCCGCTCGAATTATTCTTGGACTTAGAAATAGCTTCTCTTTTGGTATAGCCTTGTTCGAGACCAACTTACATCCACTACATATTAGAAGAACAGCTAATTTAGTTAAGTATTTCAATAAAATGTACGACTACGGTCCCCAACATCGTACTTCGTTGTATGTCCACAATTGACACAACAATCAAAGACTCTGAAATACAGCCCTTTTATTTTGGTAAAAACTCAGAACCTGATCTCTCGGGAGGTTGCACCTCTATCTCTAAGATCCTTTATTGATGCCTTAGTAGGACTACAGAGAGTTTTCTTCAGCTTTGATCTGAAATCCGCTGCAAACAAGCAAACTCACCATGAAGACCTTCTTAGGCAACTGGATCTGAAAATTATTAGTTGCATTCCTAAAGATGCAGTGCAGGTAGATACTGATGGTAGTTGTACATAAGATCGTACTGGCAGCGGTATCTTTATTAAGACCCCTCACTTTGAAACTACAATAAAGCAACGCAACCCTGACACTTGCTCTGTCTCTTAATGTGGGGCTTGATGCTATCTTGACACATATGATTGTGATTTTGGAAAACTATGGATTTTATCGGACAGCTGCAGTGCACTACAACATCTTGGTGGCTGGTCGTCCCCAACCGATGAAATATATCTATTCTGCTCAAATTGAAGTTCTCTCAGACCCACAACGTCCACCTCCAGTGGATCCCATGACGTGTTAATATTAGTGGTAATGAGGTCGCTGATAAATTCGCAAAAGAGGATAGTGAAAACGAAACGATCACTGGCTCCTCACTTACTTACCAAGAACTTTACTCAAATGAGAAATCTAAACTTAATATAATATGGTGTATTCCACCTACGCATCAATGTAACCACAGGAACATCCCCTGGCTTCCTTACTTACCAAAACTTACTTACCTTCCTTACTTCCTCACTTACTTACCAAGAACTTTACTCAAATGAGAAATCTAAACTTAATATAATATGGTGTATTCCACCTACGCATCAATGTAACCACAGGAACATCCCCTGGCTTCCTACTAGAAATCAAACGTGACCGTGACACAGCATTAAAATTTCAAATAAATGATACACACTCATGAACAAAAAAAATTAGCGCACCAAGAAGGATTCTTCAAAATGAAACGAAATTTTACATACGTAATGACTGCTTTGATATAAGTAAATGATAAGAAAATCAAAGAAAAAGGATAATTTATTTCAGAGAAAAAGGCAAAAGAACGGAGGAGTTAATACTCCGTTGGACCCCGTCTGTCGCGAAAGCACGATTCGATACGATCGAGCATTGAGTCATACAAGTTCTGTATGATGTCTTGAGACATTTCGTTCCATATTTGCTGTAATCTTGCCTCTAATTCGTTCAAACTCGTGGAATGCTCAACTCGATGTCCCAAATGATCCCAGTTATGCTCAATTGGAGACACATCTGGGGATCGGGCAGGCCAAGGAAGGGTAGTAACAGTGAGAAGACAGTCTTGTGACACTCTTGCCGTATGAGGCCGAGCATTGTCTTGCTGAAAAAGGGCTCCTCGGAGCCGTTGCATGAGTGGCAACACACGTGGTTGCAGGATTTCATGAACATACCGCTGGGCTGTCATGGTGCCACGGAACAATACTAGGGGTGACCGTGTATTGTATGCAATGGCACCCCATACTGTCACACCAGCTGTGGAAGCGATGTATCGCTGTACAGCAAAGGCATGATTGAGGCGTTCACCACGGGCTCTCCACACATGAACACAATTGTCATCACTGTCATGACTGAATCTGGATTCGTCGCTAAAGACGACCTCGTTCCATTCCGCTGCAGTCCAGTTTCCTCGTGCTCGACAGCACTCCAAACGGAGGCGTCGATGGGTGGACATCAAGGGCAGCACACGTAATGGGCGCCGCGATACCAACTGTATTTCAGCCAGGCGCCTTTGTATGGTTCGAGAAGACACAGAGGCCCCTAGTGAAGGTGCTACCTGTGCCTGGATGGCTGCCGATGAAGCATTTGGCTGTCGCGTGCCTTACGATGTGGCGGTCTTCTCAACGACTGGTCTGTCGAGAGCGTTCTGAGCCTGATCTTCATGTACATGACATCTCTCGGGTCCACTGGTCCCAACGCATCCTCACAAAACAATCAGAGCGGCCTAATTGACGAGCTACTCGCCTAGCTGACCACCCAGCTTCCATCATCCCGACGATTCTCCCCCTCTCAAACTGCGAAAACTGCTCATATTGTCTTCGAACACTACGTAATGGCATGCCTACCTCAGCTCTTCCTTTGTAAATGATCCCTCACACTCCAACAAGCTTTGGTTAAGCTTTGGTTTTATACTCCACAGAGTACGACGTTCAACGCCCTCTACCAGATATACGTAATGCGCAATCACGCTGCATTTCTAACCATTTGTATATCTCCTCGACATGTACCTTCATTGCAAGTTTCGTTACGATCCCGCAAATATTTCTTGGTGAGCTAATTTTTTTGTTCATTAGTGTATTTGTTATGGGAAGTGAAAAGAGAGTCCGAGGAAACATAGCCTTAATGTCATGCTTTTTATGACTTTTCTAATAACTTAATCCTTTTAACTTGAAAATCGCAATCGCCTCATGCACGAATTTGTTTCCCTAATTTAACATTCTTGAACAATTATTTTTAATTATTGTCAAGACATTTTACTAATTTAATGAGATAATTTGTATATATATATGAACATACCAAACATATATATATATATATATATATATATATTAGACTATTTTGTCGTCGAAATCTCTCTTAACTTACATTGTTTTCCAGACCTGACTGTTACACTGGCTGCCTGATTAAATTTTTATGTGCATTCTTCTTGAGTGATATAAGTACAAAGTAATTTGACTAAAAAGTTTCTCTTTTCCTTCAAAATTTTATTTGCGTGTACAGAAAGCTGTATGGAAATACATCTAATACATTGTGCCATAATCTGATACTCCAATAAGTTTTTGAGCTTTAATAATAAAGCAAAGTAGCCAATGCTTTATAATTTACTTTATTCAATTTTGCTGTAATGAATGCTGCTTCTGGGGCGCCAATGAATTCTCGCGTTGTACAGTTGCGGATTCCGAACAATACCCGCCTGAGTGTCCGGATCCGCTCTCACCTGTCACCTGTAATGAATACTGTGCCCTAGCGATACCACTTGTCTCAGGCTTGTTTATGTCTGTGCTTCGATAAATAATTATACCTATAAAATCCAGTAACATAATTCTAATTTTCATCAAAATGAAACTTATGACAGGACTTTGATGTCAGAACTGACTAAGACCAAGACGTGTTTGGAAAATAATTTTGTTTGAAAATCGATATTCATAGTTAAAAATGAGTATTTTAAGAAAAGCATTTATTCTAGAATAATAGGTTATTTATTTTTAAGAAGCAGAAATTTATTTTTAATTAAATATTAAATTCGATAATTTTTATCTTACAGCAAGAAAATCAGAAGATAACGCAAAACCTGTAAAATATTGATTTTCTCACATTATAATCTGCATCTAGTGCATTTGGCATTATAATTTTGCTTTATCCTTTTCTAAACAGTAGCTAATTGTTAAATTTTTGCAATGGAAATCACAATTATTGTGTACCTGTAATTAAGACTAATGAATATGTATAATGCACCCACAAGACAGAACGTTCTTCTAGACATGAAAAACAGAAAAACAAACAGCACTCATAAACTCATAAGATCATAAAAAAACAGGACTCATAAAACAGAAATTTCTCCTAAACTAAGGAGCTAAAATAAGGTGAAAGTATGAGAGGCTGATTCTGGGTGCTAAGGTAAGGCAGAATTATGATTTATGGAAGTCATGTTATTGATCGAACGCTAATTCTTAACTACTAGACAAAAAATCTGATGTGTACACCACATAACTTCCTTGTACGGAATATTATATTATACGCATTTTTTCTTGCATTTTATTTAAACTTATTGGATTTAATTATATCTACTTCGCCGACAGCGCATAAACCACAATAGAATAAGTGTATTCTTTAAAATTCACTCTATTTGTTTACCATAGCGACATTCTGGCGCTAGGTTGACTTAACAGTATTATATTTTGTTCATATTATAACTTAGAATGCACAAAATTTGTATCATTTAAAGAATTATCTAATCGTTGCCACATGTTCTATTCAAATACTATAATGAAGCTGGAACGATGTATAAAAGAAATTAAGCAAACAAAACAAAAACGAAACAGTTTTTCACAGACGATTGAGTATTTCTCATTCAATTAATTCAGTTCTCACTTCGCGACAAGAAAAAAAATACATAAAAACTCAAAATATCTCCACTAAAAATTACTAATTATTAAAAATTAAATTATTAAAAATTAAGTAAATCTTAAACACTAATTTCCTTCCTCGAAAAAAATTCCAGAAAGGATTAAGCATGATTTAAATCGCAATAACAAATGAAGGCGTTTATCTTTGTTGTTGTGAAGCTACGTTTCTCTAGAATGGCAACAAATTCACTACTCATTGTGGTGTTTCAAATTTAAACAAATCAATGGCCGCCTGTTATTTAAAAATTATGGCTTAGAGGCACTTAAACAACTTTTAAATTGTTGATAATTCTAAAAATATTGCATACAGATTTACTAAAGGCATAAAACCCTTAAGAGGAAGATAAAAACAACATAATTCAATCATTTTTAAAGAAACAAATTTACAATTTACAAACATATAAGCGTAAAGAAACTGAGATCACTGAGCCAGGTAACAGAGTGGATATATTTATAAATATATTTATATACGTTTGGCGTGGCCGATTGCAACCAAAATACGAGGTGCACATCTACATGTTATAGTAGTCCTATATACAAAATTTCAAGGCTACTCGTTTTTGAGTTATGCGAGATACGTACGTACGCACGCACGTACATACGTTCGTACAGACGCCAGGAAAAATTCTCTCCAGAATCATTTTAAAGCATTTTTTTAGTTTTTTTTTTTTTTTTTTTTTTTTGAGGAAAAGAGTCTTTTATTCTGTCCTTACGTACAGATATCACGCAAAAACATCATAAAATTGCATTCGAAAGCGGTCAAAGTGGATATTTTCGTTGAAATATGCTGCCTGAAGCTTTTCGCGATTACAATACTTCCTTTTTACTTCGTACAAGAAGTAAAAATAGCAATCAAAAGATTTCGAAAAGATTTGCTCGCCAATATCTCCACAAAATTCAATGAATGTGAACGGATCGTTTAAATAACCGATGTTCAGGTTAATGTACAGGATATATCTTATACCTATATCTGAGATTATTTTAGAATATATATTTTAGAAGTTATATTAGTTTATAACTGCTGTACTAATCTGCTTATAAGTACTATACAAGTATAATGATGTACAAAACTTTCATATATGCACTTATTTATAATAACAAAAATTTCTCAAGATGTACTTGTGTATAGTAATAGAAACTTTAATTATTTTACCGTCTTTAAGAACCATTCCTTTATGCATGTATTCATTTAATATAACATCGACATTAGTGTAACTTAAAAATTCGTCCTCATTCACATTCCTAACCATTAAATTTCTATAACATCCAGGCTGAAGTTCTCCACCATTCGGATAATAATCTACATCCCCTATTGCATCTTCAATTCCAAAACCTATAAAAGAGAAAACATTTAGTTAAATAAAATGAAGCATAACTTTGATAAAATACATTTGATGCGCTTGCAATATTATGAAAACTTATGTGAACAAAGTTTTCTTTATTTTTACACTTAATGAAAAGATTATTCAGGAATACGAAAATCATGTATAAGTATTTATTGATGTTAGAAGAATGTATTTATTTATTTTAAATAAAAATAGAATAATTTATGTAGAATTATAAAAACAGTAGCAGTAACTTATGTTGTATGAATTTACCTTAATTTAATTACAGCAAACACTTTAAGCTCTAAGAAGAGAAACTTTAGAATCTGGCTTACAAACGAAATATCTAATGTTCTTGAATTTTATGTCCGAAATTCTTAAATTTATTTCCAAAATTCTTATAATACACTGGTTTCGAAAAATTAAATAACAAACAGAGAAAACTCGAAAAGTACTCAAGCAAATTGGAACAAACTTGGTGATAATGTGTATTATTCAATTAAATTTAAAACCTCAAGAAAATATTAACAAAACATTTACATTTTTGTGATAGCAAGAAGAAAATAAAATATCCTAAATTCGGGCATACAAATTAAGTATAAAAGATTTTTTCAATGGTGAGTATGATCACACTGAACAGCAATATAGGCCTGACAACGATGTCTCATAGCGTTTATGATGTTGACAATGAGCTGCATGAGTCTCAATGGCTATTGATCACATACAGCAGTTCTAAATCCATCTAGGATTTGGGGAGGGGTTGGAGGGCCGCAATATGCCTCCTGAAAGCGTCCCACACACACTTATTGGATTAAAGTAAGGACAGCGTTCTGGTCATGCTATTAGGACAGTAATTTTATAATTTAAGAAAATACTGCTCGAGCCGAGCAGTATGAAACTAACTGCTTGCAGAATGAAGGTATAGTTAACTGCCGCAACTAGTATGAGCGATAGGGTCTAGATTACTATCTATGTAACTCTGAACAACGAGAGTTCGATGTGGTAGCATATAAAGGTATTTGCGCCCATCTAAAGATACTCCTTCCTGTATAAGAACTTTACCTCCCGCATAGGCATGCCTTTCCCGCATTTTAGTTGGAAGATAACGATTGTGTTTGATTCTCTCCGTATGTAAACACATCGGAAGATACTCTGTAAAGATAAGCGGAACTCAGCAGTAAAATGAACTGATTTTCAGTCCAATTTACATTAGTGCGTGCCCAACTCAAATGCTCCCTCTGGTCACGGAAGGTAAGCGAGATGCACATGCTTGGTCGTCTAACAGACTTCTCTCCTTTAGCTTTCTGCGCGGCTGATATTACACTTTCTTTAGAACAAAATAAGCTCGTATCTAAATTATGATGGAGTTACTCTCTTGTTGTGATGTACACTATGTTTCAAATACCGAATATCTGCAGAAGTGGTAACTCTTGGACTACTTTCGTTAGACCCCAAGACTCTGAACCAATAGTTAGAAATTGCTTTAACAACTGGCTTACCAATGAATGATTGATATTTAACCATGTTGCCTGCAATATCAGACTGTCGTTGACCTGCTTCAAACTGGCCATGTGGCTCTATAACGCAATTCTACTGGCAAATGTCTCCCTAAACTCATTCTCAGACTTTGGCTATCTTGAAATAATTTAATATACCGTCGTTTACTAAATAGCGATTCACTTCTAAACAGCTGGTTTTAGGCTGTATTATACTTATCTAAAGCGATCTCAAAGCCATATTCGATGCAGCTTGGTTTTTTGGAGCATACTTCAAGAATTTTGAACTACTTTTAGCCAATTTAGCGGTGATTTTTTAAATTCGTTGTTTAACTTTTGGAAAACACTATAGGTACAGAAATGCCTGTACATTGTAATTTTAGGATTTTCAAATTTTCGATCTGTAAAATGCCACAGAATTTCTAAAGTAATCAAATTATGAAATGTTCACATATCTGATGCATTTTTCACATTTGCAATACAAATTCCGTAGTGACATAATAAATATAAAGCCTTAAATATTAATGTTTTTGTTAAAAAGCATATTGAATAAAAAAAGTATTCCTGCCGATTTCAATAATTCAAATTATCTGCAAGTCACCACCAATGCCATCACCAATGAAATCAAATATGAAAAGAAGCATTTAAAAACATTTATTATCAAATATATATAATTATTATCTCTGTATATATATGTATATATATATTTATATTTAAACATTTATATCAAATATATATATACATATATATATATACAGAGAGAGAGAAATTGGTAATTTTAGTAAATACTAAGCAGATATGAGGGAACTCATAGTAAAGACAATGGAAATCGCAGCAAAGCAAGAAATTAATAAACACACACTTCCCCATTACGTAAAATTACTTCATATAATAGCAGGAAATTAATTGTCAAACGTTTCAAAGCATTTCAAAGCGTCACATGATCTCACAATATACTTCGAAGAAAATAAATATATGTTAAAAACATTTAAATTGAGATTTTTTATGTAACTGTAGGTATAACTATAGCATACTCCTGAGAGCTTTGCGAAGCTGCAGGAGAAAAGTTTAGGAAATTAAATTTTACCTGTTATGGAATTCCTCGGCTTGTTGGTATGGATGACATCGACGAAAGTGGCATCATCTTTGTCTAACCTTACAGCTGGTTCGACACCTTTGAAAAAGGGGCCTGAAGGATCCAGACCTTTAAAGGCAATGCACGTACTGTATTTGTCACAAATTAGTTGATGAAAAATAATTACAAAAAATATAAAAACAATTTAGCGGATCTAACCAGGCATTTGCCAAAGGAAATAGGTATGCTTTACACCATAAAATTTTTGTTAAGTAGATCCTTAATATTTTATTTTAATTCGAAGTGCGTTTTAAAATATTATAAACTGAAGGGAATAGTTTTAGTATAAAGCAGTGTAGGATAATATTTATAAACATCCATAGAGCATTTTATAATGTCTTTCCAGCATTTTTTCACAATTATCAACGAATATTTTGAACCGAGTAGGCTGTAAACGCAGAATAAATCCTGCAGGTTTACTATATTATAAAGTCAAGCACTTTATTATTGTTACAAAATAGTAATTTTAAATAAGAAATAATTTTAAATAAATCCAGAATATATTTGCTCGTAAAAAAATTATGATTATTTATTAAGTATACTTTCTGAAAGATATTTTAAAGTAAAGAATGTTAACTTCTGCAGTTTTCCAAAGAATAATATAAATACGTTTCACTTGAAAACTATTTTTAGAATAATTTCTAAGATGTTTCTGACTATTCTGAGGTTAAATGTGCTATATAATCATTTTCCCTCATAACACATTAGTAGAATAATGTGTCAGTAAACATCAGTAGGGCCAAATTCAGTCTTAGATTCGCGCTAATTTTAAATAAAGACTTTACGCATTTCTAGATATCTTATGCTAGTTTCTTTCCATTCCACTACTTTATGAGAGTTAGTATAAAGTCTTTTATTGAAGTATATAGAGTCCTTCATTTTACCATAATAATTTTATGAAATTATGTGGTAGAGAATTTCAAATTTGTTAATTTATAGGTATTATAAACTCTTTAATGGGTAACAAATGAAAGTCCAAATTCTGGCAAATTGTTTATTTGATAATTACATGAATTGCAATATGACTTTGCAATCGCTTGAATAATTATTTAGAGATAATAGATATCCTTTCTTATTTCAGAGAGAAAGAATTTAGGATTTAGAGATATATCCTTTCTATTAAAAATTAATATTCTGCGAAAAAAATAATTCAATTCGTCTTGATATTTTACGTTAACTACCAAAATTTAACAGTTAGAACTTCACGATAAATAAAACGATATGCATAAAGTAAAATTATACAGAATATTACAAAATTATGCAGGAAATCTGCAAACTTTACATAAAGAGACTTTATTCCGTTTATATAATAACGCTGCTTCTGTTTATCAACTTTCTTTTTATTGAAATCATAACAAGTTTCAACATCATACAATATCCAGAACAAGGGACTATCAAGGGAAAATTATGTGATTATGCTCACAGACTTCATTTAAAACACTTAAACTACGATTTTACTTTAAGAATATCAAATCAATTATGTGCGGAGATCAAATCAAAATATTTTGCCAGAAACGTTTACGCAGATCAATCAGGATTTATAAAATTTCGATCTCTTCCACATCCCACTTGAGGTTTCATTTCTACATGTTTATTGATTTAATGTCGCATTTTGTTATTAGGCAACTTGAGTACAATTCTCATTAATTAAATTTTAGTAATTAAAATTCACTAACTGAATATTTAAAAATATCTAATCCTTACCAGCGTTTAAAGTTAATTGTTGATTGTTAATAGTAATCAAATGAATTGGTAATTATTTTGTAAAATATTAGTAAAACTAATAATTGTTTTAGAAGAAAAATATATTCTACCTATTAATAAAAATAACAGAATATGCCTTTGGTCAAGATTGTTTCGATGTGAAAATTGTAGGCACATATTTTTAAACTTTTCTCTGTATTTTATTCCAATTTATTTGCGAATTATAAGCTGTGTCCTCCACAGAACAATATCAAAGAGCTAAATTTTCATGAGCATATCAACAGTTCTTTTGTAAATAACGGGAATAAATTTATTTCATCTGGTTTTCTCAGAATCAAAATTATGTTATTAATAATATATCCCTCTGCATTTACACTACTGGCTTTTTATACTTACTTTTTTAGTTAGATTACGAATACTAGCAGTTTTATATTAATATTATCGTTTTATACTGGTACTCTTACCAGCAATTTCACTTTAATATCACGTTTTCATGTAGAGACTTAGATTTCATGATATGTTATTTTGTAAATTATGCTAATCAATTTGCCCTTTCACTTTATACGAATGAACGTCCGTATCTGTAACGAATACAGAAATCTATAACGTAAATAAATGGTTAATTACGAAATAGAAATTTGAATTATTTAAATAATTGAAAAGTAAAGATACTTCAAGAACACTTTTGCGTATTTATTTAAGAATTTTCCAGCTTGCCAGTGCGAGTGAGTACTTTTGTACGAGTGAGGAAATGTCCGCATGAAATTAAGTGTACACTTTTAAAAATAATAATAAAAAAAGGCTTTTAAAAAATGCGATTTTTTAAAATGGTTAAAATAAATTAGAATCAAAAAAGTGGAAAGTAATTTATCATATATTTTAATGGAAACAGCAGATAAAATATTTCTCTACAACTACAATTCTATATCACGAATAATAAACGCATGAGGCCCCTTTAATAATACTACAGAAATAATTACTTTTTACAATTCCGTTTAAAAACTGATTTGATGTATTCAAAACGTTTCCATAGTTAGTTCACCAAGACTGAACCATTAAAAGACTAGATTATCTGCATATGGGGATTGATTTATAAACATTCCTGAATAACTGAATTTAGTTGAGAGTACTTACTATGAAATGCTTCAAACAAAGCTTAAGTATTCACGTCAAAAACGCATATCGGAAACAGATGAAATTAAGTTCAATAAAAGATTCCGTTTCATTTGGGTTTAAATTCTTATATAAAAAGATTAGTTTAGAAAAATAGAAAAATTGATGAAATTTGCACCTGCTTTATGCATGTAACAGCTAGTACTTTTGACATGCCAATTCGATTAGTACGTAAGTACCCAAGGTTTTATATTTTGTGATATAAAATTGTAAATGAATTTTTTCATGGAGAATTATTTCATAACTTATTTCTGTTACATTTTTTTCTCTTTAATTCAGTCAGTATTTCGTCAATTCTAAATTAAAATGTGTTTTATAAAAACCCTTTTATTTAAACTTTTTGTTGCTTTTTGTTCTCAATTATACGTTTTCAATCAAATCATTCTTTGAAAATTGAAAATTAATCAATAAATAATAATCGTTTTCTAGTTCCGGTAGTTTGTTACTATTTAAGACATTAAAAACTATATATATTGCTTCTAACTTTACATTATAATTTATGCAAGATATGCGTGATAAAAATTCATGTATTTGATCTTACTGCTCTCTTGAACGGTGTGTTTGCATCCTTTCATTATTGCTTTTGCGTTATTGTTACTTTTTTAAATTCAGCTATTGGTTATTCAGCTCCAAATCGAATTCTTTGCAGTGATTTTATTCTAAAAGCATATATAAAAGTGTAGCTTACATATATCCAGCGCACAAGATAAACATTCAGAAGAAAGTTCCGTTTTCCAAAGTTAATCAACACATATTTTATTTAAATTGTAAGAACGGTTATATATGTTTATAAAATAATTAAACTTCAAATTGTTTCTTAATTTATCTACTTGTATCGGTCAAATCCATATTCAAATACTGCGTTTCAGAAATAAATATTCTATTAATAAACTTTTCGTGCTTTAGTATGGCATTAAGCTATTATAGAAAATAGCTTGTTTGTTAAGCTGATAAATTTAATTTTTTGTGTGATATAGAAGAATGAGATATTTTGCAGTTAGCTCATTAATAATAGTTCAGGTAACATCATTTTATTCTAAGAAAACAAATAACGATGAATGACCTGTGATTCGAGAAACCAAAGTTTTTGCTTTCTTTTGAAGCCATTTGCCTGCGTATCCCGCTGCATGGGCACCAAGTCCATGACCAATAATATGTACAGTGTCGAGAGGATTGAGTTTCGTTGAATTCTGCAATAAATATTTTTAAAAAATCAGTGCCATAATTTCTGCAGTCCAACATATAACTAAATCAGATTTACAATGCAACATTCATAACATAAATTTTTCTAAAAGTTAGCTTTGCGTTAATAACTTCTTTTCTCAGCGCCTTATGTCATTACGATATTCGCTTAGACCAGGGAATCTTATATACAGGCCCTACAATGTCTCATTACAGTATAACATTTTAAAACAAAAAAGTAATTTTATACTAGCCTATAATCTTTACCGGGAGTTGAGTGGAATTTTGTTCAAAAGCACTGCCATCCTGCTTTGAAAGCAGCTGGCAGTGTATGAACGCCAAAATAATAAATGTTTGCTGGAATTCCGTATGTGTATGTATTCCGCAATTAGGTAGTTCTTATGCAGATCTAAAGTATGTTTGTTGCAGGTATAAGTCATCACATTTTAACATTAGCATACCAGTAAGAACACAGCTATTGACAAGATATAGCGCGGTTTAGTTTGCTCTTGAATCATAGGAAATAAAAAGCTTTGTATTTCTTTTCAGTATTACGTATAATAAGTATAATAATTAATAGTTAAGTAGAGATGAACCGTTAGGCGAAATTTTTGTGGTTAACTTACAAGGTATTTCTCCCGCCTTCTTGGCATGACTTCGTGGTGTGGTGTTCTGCATGCTCAGCGAATAATTCAGAGGTCCGTGGTTCGATTCCCGGCGAAGGCGTTTGCTCATTTTTCATCTCTTTGGCTTCCAAAATAACCTAATGACTCTACAGTGGCCCCCGATTAAAACGAATGTTGTGGGATGATTCTCCGCACCCAGGATTTGGCGATTGGGTCCCCTAAAACCTCAGTCGCCCTTTAAAAGAGGGAGTATATAAGGTATTTCGGTACTATTCCGTTTTGAGGACCGTAAAAAATCGCCAAACTATTGTTGATGCCAGGCCAAAAATAATTGTGGCAACCCTAACGCAAGAAAGCAAGTATAATAGTAAATAACTATTTAAGATTGATGTTTTAATTTAGATGAAATGTTAATTTCATATAATACTTTTTTATTAAATTTATATAAAAAAGCTAAATATGACTGAATGGAAAGTAAATAATTATTTCAGATCATTATTATAATTTATATAAAAAATCTTATGTGGTACACCACATGAGTTCCTTGATTGGAATTTAATGGAGTATTAATTATACGCATTTTTTCTTGCATTTCATTTAACTTATTGACTGAATTAATCTACTTCGCCGAAGCGCATAAACCACAATAGAATAAAGCATTCTTTAAAATTCCGCGCGTCCTTTATCCTGTGAGCCGTTAGGCTAATCTAACTACATTTGATTTTAGTTTAGTAACTGATGTTTGTTGCAGGTCGTTTTTATCAAATGTTACCTTTTTTAATGAGACCTTTTTTATAAAATGTTAGAGATAATCAGAAGCATTATTTTCAGTTGGCCTTAAAGATAACCACAAATTGCCCTTGAATTTTGATTAATCAGCTCTTTCTTCCATTTGCCAGCTGAACTAACTATTTTTATTGTTATTGTTGTCTTTGTTGGTTACCAGTTCGAAACTGAAGTACAGTAAATTTGTTGTGCTGGTATTTTGAAGATATTTTTTTAAACTTACAGTTTAAAAAAATATTTCATAATGTCTTCTGCGCAGGAAATCATCGCTTCGAAGTAACTGAAATTTCTGCTCATATCTGTAGGTAATTTTAGGCCGTTCGCTTGAAGAAACATTAGGATTTTTTGGAAGCATGAAAAAGTAGCAACGCCTACGCCGTGAATCGAACCACGGAGCCCAGCGCGCAGACCACCACACTATGAAGGAATGCTAAGAAGGCGGGAGAAATACCTTATATACTCCTCCTTTTATAGAACGACTAGGGAACCCATTCGCCAAATCCTGGATGTAGCGAATCATCATTCACCACCCTTTTAGTTCGGGCGTAACTGTAGAGTAATTCGGTTATTTTTAAAGTAAGAGTGATGAAAAATGAGCAACACCTCCGCCAGGACTCGAACCACAGACTTCTCGAATACGCGTCGAGCGTGCTGGCCACTACACCACGAAGGCATGTTAAGAAGGCGGGAGAAATACACTTTGCTAAGCTCCATCAGGATATAGCTCCAAGCCATACCTTTGTATCTACTGCTCTATCTACTCTATTTTTTGTAAAAAATGAGAAATGAAACCGGCATTGAAGCTATTCCTTTTAAATGCATCCCACTCAAGTTCTGTAATGTGTCTCCTTTGGATTACTGTGCATCTGGACTTTTTAAACAAGCTCTTTATAAGCTGCATTCCAAAACATTGGATGGACTCTAGACGATTGTGAAGGAAGAGTGGAGTAAAATCAACCATGATGTTTTGATAAAAGTACTTTTATCTTGGGAATCAAGATGTAATATGATAACTCAACGAAAGGGCTATCAGATCGAAGATATTAGAAAATAAAATTTTAAGTTTCTTTATATATAAATCTTTGCAAAATTGTTATAAATATATGTGAACACCATCTGCATGTATGATTTGTATCTGTGTATTCATGAAAGAGATTCGGCACTTTGTGTGAGCATCGTGGAGGTAAATTGTTGAAGTGTTCTGAAACACTTAAAGGACAAAAACCACTTTTCAAATATTATTTTAAGTTATTTTCTTCTTCTAAGGATGTGTTTTTTGTTATTGTCATTATCAGACTTACTCTTTTTCTCCTGTCCGTCTCAGAAAATTAAAATGGGCAGCTGTGTTGGTCATTCAGCGTT